GCTGTGCTGCGCTCCATGAGCCGCAGGGATGTGCTGATCAAGCGCTGGCCGAAGCCGCTGCCCTGGCAGTTTTACCGCTCGCTGCTGCCCGACGCCTCCATCACCATGTGTCCATCCTGCTTCCAGGTATGTTTGCAGGGAGGGGTGTAAAAAATAAACAATGAGCCCTGTCCAGAGCCTGATGGGTGAAACAGTGCTAATCATTGAAACCTCCTACTCCAAAATGTACTCAGCAAATTCCTGAATGAGACAGAGACAGAGCAGTGAAACCCCAACTCTGAGCTGTGTGAGGGACAGAGGAACAGCTGCCTTCGAAGATTGGTGGTGGCTGAATTTGAGAAGTTGCCCTGACAGCAAGTCAGAGCCTCTTGAGAAAACCTTGGCTGACCAACAGAAGCTGATTTGTATTTCTTTCCTTTTCCTTTGTCTCTCTGACTTGTGGCCTGGTCTAGCAAGGACAATCAGTCAGTGATTGTTATCTTGTGGTTCAGTTCTGCTCCTCCCTTGCTCAGAAATTACTTTTTGAAATGCTGGAACTCAGTCGTGTTTGCTTACACTACTGCCTGATTGTCCATCCTTTTGCAAAAGTAGTTAATGTGTTTGTGCCTTCTGAGCAGCACTGGCAGAGGTCTGTGAAGTGCTGGAGCATCTCAGGTGATTGAAACCAAGAGGACCAATTCTCTCTGATGGTGCTTTTGGAAAATCYGTGCTATTAAACTCAGTTTGCATTTTCTTTGAGCAGAGTACAGGCTAATTTGTCTTCAATCTGTTCTTAATTAACAGATGTTTCACACAGAAGACTATGAGCTCCTCATACTTCAGCATAATTGCTGTCCATTCTGTCGGCGGAGAATAGATGAGTCAAACCAATGAAGAACACCAATCTTTTACCTCAGCAACAGACTCCCCTGTTGGCTTGACACAACACTTGTTAGATCTGCAGAGCTTTCCTMACAACTTAGTTACGTCTTGTTCCATTTTATGTGTAAAAGTAGAACCAAGTTGAAGAAATGTAAATATTTTTAAAAATTAAAATATCTGGTATTTGTGAATGTGCTCTGCATTTTCCAGGCAAGCAGCTTAAGTGCCACAGAATTTTACAGAAATGTTTCTAGGATCAAGTTCAGCCTTTTAAATAATGGTTCTTACTCCTAATTGTGCTATGATTTGATTTRCTCCTTAACACACACCAGTTATTGACAGATCTCCAAATAAATGGGACTATTTTTCACTATTTATTGTCTCAGAATTTGCAATAATGCTGATGCTTCTGATCTTGAATTTCTTTTTCCTTTCTATTCCATTTAGACAAGAACAGCATTTAGAGTTGAGAGCCCTTCAAATATAATCTGAAGAGTTGTGCTCTCATGGCACTTGGGGGCATCTCACAGCCCCCCTGGGGCAGGAGAATTCACCTGGTTAAATGGTCAGGCTGTGCAGAGCTGAGCTCTGTGGTGCTGCCATGCAGGGCTGTGCTGAGGCTGTGCTGTGAGCAGAGTGTCCCCAGTGTGGTGTCAGTCCTGAGCCAAGGGCAAGCTCTGTGTGTGAGTGGGAGGGGATGGACCCCCTGCCCCAGGCACACCTGAGCTCCCACATTGGCTTCTCTCCCTGCAGGACTGGGCAGGAAGCAGGAGAGCAAAAGCCAAGAAACTCCTGTGTRGAGACAAAGACAGTTTAATAGCTAAAGCAGATCTCTGCGTGTAAGCAAAGCAAGAAAATTTATTCCCTGCTTCCTGGAGAGCAGGGCTCAGCATGAGCCATCACTTGGGAAGGCAAACACCACATCCTCCGTTCTTCCTCACTTCCCTGAGCTTTTATTTTGGAGCACAACATATCTGGAGTGGCACACCCCTTTGGCCAGCTGTCCTAGCTCTGTCCCTGCTGAGAGGGACAGGGCAGGGACAATGGAGACCCCAGTGCTCAGCCCCAGTTCAGCACCCGTGTAATCCCAGTGCTGGTTTAGACCCCAAAGCATGACCCCACACTGCTGGGAGGGAGGTGAACTCYGTGCCAGCCACACCAGGGTAGCCCTGGGCAGGGAATCTCACCGTGGTCACAGAGTCCTGTTTGTAACTGCCTTGGCTGGAGCTGGGGAGCAATGATGTGTCTCTTGACTTTAATCCATATAAACTGTGCCCGTGTTGCCACGAATTCTGTTGTGATGGCAGCCTGTCTGTTCAGCCTGCCTTTATCCTGATGGGATAGGACATGAACAGCTCGCTGAGGTGSTTGGTGCTGGCAGAGCAGCTCCTATGGGAGCAGCATTTTGGATGTGAAGCAGGATGTCTGTCTGCTCGAGTTCCTCTGCAAATGGACACCCTGCAATCTCACTGCCGGGTTGCAGAGTCCCTCAGTACTTCCTGACCAAGTTTGCTTGATTCATCACTTTAAAAACATTCTGTTCTAATTACAGCTCGCCTGCTTTCTGACTCAGCTGTCACTGTTTGCAGGGAAAACTCCGCTATTCACATGGATAAACAATSCTGTTTGAGATGGGAGCCAGGGTGGAATTCAGCTCCTTCTGGAACTGAGCTGGCTGTGCAGGGCCAGTGGGACTGAAAACTTGTAAAAGTGCAGAGAAAGGGTTTGCTGTGACAGAGAGACAAGATGGACTGAGCAAGGAAGCTTTTTGTTTTTCCCCCAACAACTCTRTGAGTACAGTCTAGCTTTGAAAAGCGTTTTGGGCTATTCTGGGCAGAAACACYCCACATTGTCCCATACAGGATGAAGGTGTTCTAGTCCAGGCTGGTTTATACCACAGGGCCCACCAGCTGACTTCATGCTGAGGAGTCCCTGAAGGTACAGGAGGTCCCACCACAGCCCTTTGTTGTGAACAATTTGCCCTGTGCCTCAGTTTCCCTGCTGTCCACCTGTCCCACTGCTGCGTCCAGTGGTGACGCACACTGCCCTAAGCTCTGTCTAGCAGCTGCTACCTCAGCAATGGCTTATTGCATCAGCTTAAAGTGTTTTAGGAAATAAATCTTTAATCCCTGTGTGCCCAGGTACAAGTGTAAACAGCTGCATTTGCAGTTAGAAAGTGACACTGCGCTGGCCTTGGCAACAAGTGTGAGAAATTAATTGAGAGGGGCTTAGGGTGAGCAGAGTGTGTGTGAGGATGTGGGGTTTTCATGTTAAGCTGAAGGAAGACCTTTGGGACWGTCCAGAGACTGTGGCCTGCATTGGGCTGCCAGTGAAATCTGCCCTCGTTTGTGGTGCCAGCACTTCAGCTGCTTCCCCACTTAGCAAGCAAGTTTCACAGCTTGGTCTCTGCTCTAAGGACAGTACAGCACTTTGAGCTTTTTCCTATTGAACTCATTGCTCAACTAACCTACAAGGAACATTGGTGAAAACTAGACCAGGACTGGAGGAAGTTTCTTATGGCCAGGAGGACATGAATTTCTGCCTACCTTGCACGCATGAGTTCCAGGAGCTCTGGTACATCCTCCTGTGCTGGATGAGGAGCTCTCATTTGCCTCCTCCTGGCTGTGAGGAACGCTCAACTCAGCACCCAAAACAGCAAGGGGAGGTGGGTGCTCAACTCCCTTCCAGCCTCTGTCACCCACAAAGGAGCAGAGCAAACAGTCTCCATGTGCTCACCTCCTGTAAGTTTTGTCCCACTGCCTCTGAAAAATTAAGAAAAGATGGGTAACTCAGCTGCTGGTTGACACAAGGAATGTTTCAAGCACAGCTGAGTGCATGGAATGGTAAGTCAGAGAGATATAGATGACATGAAAGGCTCCAAMAACAGCCTTGCCTGTGGAGTTTGATGATTATGCAAAGTTTGAGGAGACTGAGGTTGTCTGTCAAGCAGTGTAAGAAGCTGAGTGTTGGCTTCAGCTCTGAACCTCTCATCAGTCTCCTGGTCCAGCAGCCTTCTCAGCACTAGTGCAAAATTATTCCAGTCTAGGAGAGATGGACTAGGTTATTTATTGGGTTATTTATTGGGTTATTTATTGGGTTATTTATTGGGTTATTTATTGGGTGTTACCAACGTGGTTGGCATGACCCAAATCCCATACAAAGCCAGGCATGGAGGAGATGGCTGATAACCTGCCAGTGGAGCCAGTGTTCCACTGTGGTGGTCAAACCTCCACAGCCAAATCTTGAGTAGAAAGGTGGCTGGAGCCCATGGAAGAAGGTTTGGTCATGCTGCCTTCTGCAGCCTTTCACAGGGACTGGCAGCTCTGTGGGGCCTGGCTGGTGTCACAGATCCACATTCCCTTTGTAARTGTGGGGCTGGGACACCCCTCTGTCACTGAGGGACCACACCACACCTGCCCAGCCCAGCCCAGCCCTGCCCAGCCATCATTTGCAGCCCCAAACCCACAGTCCTGGGATTTGACCCACAAATAACAGTCCCTCCTGTTAGCAGGGAGTGGAAAGGAAGAGAGAGGCTGTGCAAATGGAGCTGCTGCCTGCTTTGAGCCCCTCCAGKAAATGGTGGGTTGCAGACCCATTTCTATATATGTGACCATGAGCTGTGGTCTCCAACAATGACAGCACTGGCCACAAACAGGTGTCACCTTAACACCTTCCCAGGAAAGCCAATTACTCCAACATGATTATGATTAATAATGCTCTGAGCCCGAATTGTGCTGACACCAGTGCCTGGAGCTTATGGAGAGGACACTTTATAAGAGGTGCCCTGTAGAGGAGAGCACAGCTGGTTCTCCTTGGGGTGACAGTGAAGGCTGAGAGGTGGCAGGAGCTCCATTTCAGAGGCCATTTCCCCCTTGCACAAAAGAACTCCCAGAGCAAGAGCGAAAAACACCTGACAAACTGCAACCATGAATGGGACGGAAGGCCAAGACTTCTACATCCCCATGTCCAACAAGACCGGGGTGGTGCGGAGCCCCTTTGAGTACCCTCAGTATTACCTGGCTGAGCCCTGGAAGTACTCGGTGCTGGCTGCCTACATGTTCATGTTGATCCTGCTTGGTTTCCCCATCAACTTTCTCACGCTCTATGTCACCATCCAGCACAAGAAGCTGCGGACACCTCTAAACTACATCCTGCTGAACCTGGCATTCGCCAACCTCTTCATGGTATTTGGAGGCTTCACAACCACCTTGTACACCTCCATGCACGGGTACTTTGTCTTTGGAGTAACAGGGTGCTACATCGAAGGCTTCTTTGCCACACTGGGTGGTAAGTTTTCCAAATATTCAAAAGTCTTCTGTCAGGAGTCTGTCTTCCCCAGATTTTATGAGTGGGAGGGAAAATACATAGATGATGTTGGAAAAATGTGGGACCTGGAATGTCCTTGATCTGCTGCTGRTGTGTACTGAGGCCATTGCCATGTTTCCAGGTAGGAGATGAAGAAAGTGACAAGTGATGCTTTTTAAAAAAACTTTATTTTGGGAGCCACCTTAGYGTCCTGAGAATCACTGTGCAGCAATGAAAAGCAGCCAATACCAGATTTTGCAGCTGTTGCATTTGCACACCTCCTTGGCTCACTTTCTGACTCATGAGATGATAATTTTGTTTCTCCTATTTTGCAGGGCTGTATCTGCCATTGCTCTTGTGTGGTGCATGGTGGTATGGGTGAGCAGAGCTGGCTCTCCTCCCCATGCCACCCTGGACCATAAACAGAGGCTGAACAGCAATTGTTTGTCTAAAAACACCCTCCTCCATTTGGCTCAGCCTTCAGCCACAGCTACTGTTTTWCTGGTTTAGGTCCTTACGGCACAAGTTTCCTGGGAAGCTGTGAGTAGTGAGGGGAAATCCTGAGCTGATGGGCACTCACTGCATCTCAGTGTGGCTACAGGCTTGCAGGTGCAGGTGCTGTCTGGGATGAATGGTGGGATCCACCAYGGATCTCAAAATATCTCAGCAAAGTGGTTCCTGTGGGCAGCAGTAAGATGAGAAGGGGTCTTCTCATATTATTCTACCACATCTACACTTGACCTTTCTTCATTTCTCTTTCTGAACCATTGGTGAAGAYTGAGCTGCTGTTGCAGGGCTTGTCCTCAGGAACATCAGTCTGAGAAGGTCTCATGCTGCCATCAGGGTGTTTTGCTTTTCTAGTTGCTCAAAGTCCCCTTGTACTTTCCTTCTCTGGTGCAGGTGAAATTGCTCTCTGGTCACTGGTGGTTCTGGCTATCGAAAGATACGTGGTGGTCTGCAAACCCATGAGCAATTTCCGCTTTGGGGAGAACCATGCTGTCATGGGCGTTGGCTTCTCCTGGATCATGGCCTTGGCGTGTGCTGCTCCCCCACTTTTTGGCTGGTCCAGGTAGGAAAGCCCTGGGCCCGGCGTTGGGGGGTGGGAGCCTGGCTGTTGGCTCATCTGTGGCTTCCAGCCAGTCTCCTCTGCGGGGTGCTGACCTGCTGGGTTCACCTTGCAGGTACATCCCCGAGGGCATGCAGTGCTCCTGCGGGATTGACTATTACACTCTGAAGCCAGAGGTCAACAATGAATCTTTTGTCATCTACATGTTTGTGGTTCACTTCATGATCCCGCTGRCAATCATTTTCTTCTGCTATGGGAACCTGGTTTGCACTGTCAAGGAGGTGAGTACCTGCCAGATGCAGTGGCCACAGGGCTACCCCTGTTCCCAGTGTTGGAAGGAGCCCATACCAGGCTCAGGAATGGTGACAGGGAGGGCCTCCAGGAGCCAGCCTGGCAATCCATGCAGAGGGAAAYCACAAACTCCACATGTGCAGTCTGACTACTGCCCTGACCCCATGTCCCTACCAGTGCAGTACCCACTGTCTCCATCCCGTTTCCTGTCCCTTCTGCCTGCAGGCTGCAGCCCAGCAGCAGGAATCTGCCACCACCCAGAAGGCAGAGAAAGAAGTGACTCGCATGGTCATCATCATGGTCATCGCCTTCCTCATCTGCTGGGTCCCCTATGCCAGYGTTGCATTCTACATCTTTACCAACCAGGGATCAGACTTCGGGCCCATCTTCATGACCATCCCGGCGTTCTTTGCCAAGAGCTCTGCCATCTACAACCCCGTGATCTACATCGTAATGAACAAACAGGTGAGTGGAACTCCTCCTTTGTGTTTGTAACAGCTGGCAGAGAGTTGCAGCACCTCGAGGTGCCAGTGCTCTGGAGTAGGGGCTGCTTCCAGGAGATCTGGTCCTGGCACATGGGAAGCTGACTGTGCAGCCCATCCTTGGTGTTGCATAAATCTCACAAATGCRAGGCCATCCCACCTGGAGGAGAGAGCAGTGCAGCAGATGGGATGGGCAGCAGGGAGTGGGACAGGAGGCTCCACTGCCATAGTGCCTCCTGGGGGCTTCCAAGCAGCTCTGCTGGGCTTAAAGCCAGCTCTGCAGARCTGCATGGTGTCTACCTGCCTCACCATGGGCTTCCCTCTCTCCAGTTCCGTAACTGCATGATCACAACCCTCTGCTGTGGCAAGAACCCACTGGGTGACGAGGACACGTCTGCTGGCAAGACAGAGACCTCGTCCGTGTCCACCAGCCAGGTCTCTCCTGCATAGGCCCAGGGGAGCAGCCAGCCCAGCCCCTGGGACGCTGCCCTGGGAGCACCAACTTAGCCCCATCGCCACCCCTGCTTCGCCGTGGCCAGGGTCCTGGGGGTGGGCTCCTCGCTCCTGGCACTAGGAACCCTGGGAACAAGGCTGATAATGTGTACACATTTTGTAATTAAAATGCAAAGGCTTAGCTCCTCTGGTGTAAATCCATGCATTTCTGTTGACTTGCTGAGAGCTCATGCCCCTTCTCTGAGTGCCGTGCCTGGGCCATGGCAGAGCCATCCTTGCCTCCCTCAACCCACCCTGACACCTCAGCCAGGGCACGTTCAGGGCACCTCAGGGCATGTTCTGCATCTGCTGCTGCCGGGGCCGGAGCTGGKGCCCCTCTCTGTTGCTGGAGATGGATCCCAGCCAGTGCTGCCCAGCCCCTCAGCCCCATCACACTCTGGCTGCCCAGAGCAATTTTGGGTGCTGCAAAGTGCCCCAGCACTGCCAGATGCTCTCAGCTCCAGCCCTGTCCCATCTGCCAGAAGTGCCAGAAGGCAGCAGGGTTCCTCCAGAGGGATGGGACAGATTCCAGTGCAGATTCCAGGGTCCTGCCTGGCAGGCAGCACAGCACAGCACAGCACAGCACAGTATCCCACTGCAGCACTCAGGGACAGCAGGGCTCCCTGCTCCACGCTCCCCGGCACTCCTTCTCCTTCTCTGCACTCCCACCTCTCTTCCTTGGGCATCTTTGGCCTCCTAGGGCCAAGCCCCCCGTAATCTCCCCACGCCCCTCCCCATTTCGGCTGTAGCAGGAGGTTTGGGGCCACTCTTGTGATGCTGAGGCTGCCCAGTGCAGGGCTGAGCCACCCCCACACTGCAGCATATGGCTCAGCGATGCTGACATATGTTCAAAGCACTACAAGATGGCATATTGCAATTGTAGCAGTGTTCTTCATTTTTATTTTTAGTTCAGTTATACAAATAAGATGTTTTTCTCTCTGTTCAATGTTATCAACATTTGAAACTATTTTTGTACGTTATTATCCTCTCTGATTTCTAATCCTATGCAGCTTTGCAAGGACTAACAGGGAACGTATAGAGCCCGTGCAAGTTATACCCTTAATAAAGAGCAATTTGCAAGTACAATTCTCTCATTATTTTTTTTATTGGTACTTCTGCATATTCAGTGAAATCTAAAGATTAGAGTTTTATGAATAATTCAGTGTTTAGGCTGGTGTCTGATTCATGTACTTCAAATCAGGGAGGTGGTTTTGATGGGAAGAGGAGGAAGGATTCAGTGTTTATTTGCTGTCCATGAGGCTGTGCTCCACAGGAGTGTGCTGATGTCTGGCACCGTGGTTCTCCTGCCTGCAGAGGATCAGCCCTGGCACAAGGCTGCCTCACACTGTGCTGCCCGGCTGCTGCTGGARGTGTTGGGGACAAGCAGAGTTTGGGACCCCGCTGCCAACTCAGCCAGGTGCCAGAGGCATCACAGAGCTACCAGAGAGGGATGGATGGATCCACGAAGAGGAGATCCACCCAAACCTTCTGTGGTGCCAGCCCCAGCAACCTTCCAGTGCTCTCACTGCCCCCTTTCCCCTTTCCTGGGGAATTCAGAAATGGACTGGAAATGGMGCAAGAAACAGGCTGGGGTGCTGGTCTGGGGGGAACAGGGCACATGGGTCTATCTCCCAGCTCTTTACTCCAGACCTGGCTCCTCCTGGCACCTCAGCCAGGATCTGGCCCCTGGGCTCAAGAGATGAGTGCAGACCTTGACAAAAGTCTCCATGGGCAGCACTTTGCTGGTCCATTGCTGTACTCTGCTGAGATGGCTGTGAGCCAGTCCTACCATCACGTAACCCTGCTTTACAGCTTCCTCACCTTTCCAACAGACTRCACACGAAAGCCCTGTGAGTCCTGTGTGAAGAGGGAGTCCCTGCAGAGGGGACATTTGCACTGTTTCTACACCAAAGAGCCACTGGTGATTTGTTCAGATGCTCCTCACAAGCACAGGTGCCTGCACAGAGGGGTCGTGGGGAATTCAGTGGGCAGGGGTCAGTGGTTGTCCTGCTTGTGACACCTGGGGAGAGTTGCTGCTCCTGCCTCTGCTGGCAAACCAAGCAGTTCTTCATTTYCCTCCTCTCACATGTGGAATCTTCCCCTGACCTGCTGCCCCACAATTATCAGACTGCCATTTCCCAGTGAATCCATCCTTGGTGAAGGGAGACAGCACATCCCAGCAGCACAGGGGCACAGAGTCTGTGTGGGCCCCATGTTCTGGTTTGGCTCCCTGTGCACCCACAGCAAGYGTTGGCAGCTGTACCCAGCACCCCAACACCCCCAGCAGCAGGTAGACACCTTTTGTCTGCCTGTTCAGGACAATCACCCTGCAAACCCCCATCTCTCTTTCCTCTCCAAACTCTGCTTAGGTGTGCCCCTTCTCCCTGCAGCCCCTCACAAAGAYTGGCAAAGCACCCTCAGGTTCCCAGCAGGGCTTTGGCCAGAGCAATTAGCAGGTGCCAATGAGCACCTGCAGCCAGGCTGCTCATCCTTTAAATGATGGRGCTGAGCTGAGCTGGGCATGGCAGGGCTTGTGCTGCTGTGGGTAGAGCTGCCTGTGCCTGCCTGGACTCTGGGCTTTGGTGCTGCCATGGACTCTCCGCTGGGTAAGGGCTCTGCAGGTGCCGTGGGGTCCCTCAGAGCTGGGGTTTGGCTCCAGCTATGGTGCCTGTTGTTGCTGGGGGCTGCAGGGATGAGCAGGGTTGTGGCTCCAGCTATGGTGCCTGTTGTCCCTGGGGGCTGCAGGGATGAGCAGGGTTGTGGCTGCATGGCTCCAGCTATGGTGCCTGTCGTTCCTGGGGGCTGCAGGGATGACCAGGGTTGTGGCTGTGTGGCTGTGGGGGCTTTGCAGCCCCGGGATGTGAATGGACCCCGGTCCCAAATGGTGCCTTTTGCAGCAGACACGGCTGCTGGCATGGCCCAGCGCTATCGCGCCCAGCACCCTCCAACCCTGCAGATGGTCAAAGAGGCGCTGCGGGCCCACGATGAGAAGAAGGGCGCCTCTGTCATTGCCATCAAGCGTTTCATCCTGGCCAAGTACCCCAGCGTGGACCCCATCCGCCTCAAGTATCTGCTGAAGCAGGCTCTGAGCAAGGGGCTGAGCTGTGGGGACCTGGTGCGGCCGCACAATTCCTCTGCTGTGGGGGCCACGGGCACCTTCAAGGTGAGCAGGGAGCCATGGGCTGGGGCTGAGGTGATGGCTGACCCCGGTGACACCCCTCTCTGAACCGCAGTTAGCGCTCAAGAAACCACGGCACAAGCAGCAGCTGGGGCAGGCTGATCCTGACCGAGGACAGAAAGGGACCGGCCCAGCGCCTGTGGCAGGAGCACGACAGAGAGGTGAGGACTGTGGGGTGCTGTGGGGAGAGGGCTGTGGGGTGGGTGCTGTGGGTGCTGTGGGGTGCTATGGGGTGCTGTGGGTGCTGTGAGCCCCCTCACACTGCCTGGCCCCACCAGCCCTCACCCCCTGCCCTTTTTCTCCAGGTGCCACGAAGCAGCAGCCCAAGGCAAAGGCCCTGAATGTGAGTAGGGACTGGCAGTGGGGTTGGGTGGCTCAYGGCATGCCCATAACCTGAGGTGCTCTCTTCCCTTCCCTCCAGGCCCAGCCASGAGCGGCAGAGAAGCCCAGCAGTGRCAGAACAAAGCACCCACAAGCTGCTGACTGGCCCCAGGCTCACGGCCCAGGGCTCTCAGGGCCCCCAAAGCACCGCCAGAAAGGACACGCAGCACCCAGCACAGCCMTGGCTGCTGACACTGCAGCAGGGGCTCAAAGTCAATCTTCTGCAGGTGCAGGGCTGAAGGAGCCTCAAAAGGCCCCGAGGGGAAAGAACAAGGGGAAGGTGGCCCGGGGGGCACAGCAGGATGGCCCCAAGGCACAGGGAGGTCAGGACCCGTCAGGGAAGCCCCGGGTGACCCCAGGAGCTGGGCAGGGGAAGGCCAGGGTGAAAAAGGCAGCCCCCAGGGCAGGGGACACAAAGACTCCATAGGGAGCTCAGTCCTGCCTCTGATTCCCATCCCTACAACAGGTTTTAACTCTGTGTTCACCTCATCCTAATAAAGCTTCTTTATTTGCCTCATGAAATGRCGTGACTGTTGCCCTGCTTGTGGGTCCTGGTCTCTGTGCTTCCAAGGGCCAAAATCCCTTAGCCCTGTCCTCAGCCTGCATGGCACGGTGGTGAGCTGATGCTGTAGACAGCCTGCCCTGATGGAGGGGTGCTCTCTGTGTCCCCAAGTGTCCCCTGATGTGGGCTTTGGGAGCTGTGTGTGTGCAGGCTGGGAGTGATCCCCTCTGCCACAGGCCCTGACACCCGTGGGACACAGCATGGTGACACTCCCAGCAACAGAGAAGCTCAGGCTTGGCCAGTTCTGTGGTGGGATCATGGTGCCTACAGTCTGTGCGAGGTGTCCACCCTTCTGCCCTCCTGGCTGTCCTTGGGCTAATGCCTGCTGAGCTGGGATTACAGSAGCACCAGAGCGGCAGGGCTGCGTGCGTGCCATGGGCATCTCTCAGCACAGGTGAACCAGCCTGTGGTTCATCTACAGTAAGAGGAAGATAAAGGTGTTTTGGGGCTCARACAAACAAGTTTGGGATGTTACTGTCACTTCCAGGATAGCTCATGCTCTTATTACCTGTCTGTGGCACAGTTTCCACCTCCAAACTTGTTTTGTGAGCTCCTGTGGGCCATGTATCACATTTCCATTTAATATCTTCAAATGCCCAAATTTCTTTTGCTCTGCCCAGAGCAGAGCCCTTCTGAAGGTCATGCTGATCATGTAAAGGGTTACAGTCCTTCTGGGTTGGAGAATATAAGTGGAAGTAAAACTCTTTCTAAAGAGGATTTTGTTAATCTGGCAACTGGCCTTGCCATTGCCCTCCAAGGCTCCTGGCCTCGCTTCAGGGCTTAAGCAAGAGCTGAGCAAACTAACTTCCTTTTAGACTCCAGTCCCTTAATGGGGCTGGAATTTGTGTCCCCCCAGGGACGGGGTGGGGAATGTGGCAGCAGTAACTGAGCAGAGTTCACTGGATCCTCAGATGGGGTGKCCTCAGAGCACCACTCACCTATGGGGCAGGGTCCTCCCTCTCACGGGCACCAGGCGTGAAATGCAAAGCTCTCTTGCTTTCAGAGAGGCCAAATAACTTCATGGCTGGATTTAGCTTTGCAAAAGCTAAATCAACTTTCTAGTGGAAGGAGAAAATCTGGTGTCTGCAAAGCACAGATTTYACTGGGGGAAGTGGAAGGTTTAGCAATGGTGTGGTCATTAAAGGCCCCGGACTAGAGCTGGTATTGGGGTGCTGAAGCCACAGACCCAGTTCTGGGGGTACAGGGAGGCACTGGCTCCCTGAGGCTGCGGAGAGGCACCACCCCAGGGCTGGGCACCTGGCACAGGTGAGGGTGCCTGGCCTCAGTGCTTCTGTGGGGCTCCTGGTGTTCATGAGCACAGTGTTGGTCACTTCAGGGGCTGCTGTGTTCTTGTGCCAATCATCCCCTCCTGTGCCCAGCCCTTCCTAGGGAGGAACCAGGGCTGTGGGAGTGGGGTGTGGATGCAGTGAGCTCTGCAGCCCCGAGGGTACAAACCTGTTCTCACTGGGCTGCTGACCCTGCACGTACAAAGCATGTACAAAGCTTGTCTGTGCAGGGGTCCTCATGTGTGTCCTCCCCACATGCACGGCAGGAACTGCACTCCACAGGTTCAGCACCTTGTTTTATTACAAAGATAGGCTTTGCCAGGAGTCTGCCACTTCCACTACACAGCAGGTAAGGGCACTACACCCACAACACGTGCCAAAGTTTAAAAACATGTTACAAAGGGCTTGAAGGTTCAGGCAACACTACAAACCCTCGATATTTACTGTTAAAGTTGCTCCTTTAAATGGCTGTAGCAACTACTTCTTGTTTTCTTTTTTTTTTGGCTTTGGAAAAAATTAAATAATAAAGCAATAGCCCCAATATATGGCCCAGTCACAGCACCTGGAGGCAAACTCTGCTTACTCTTGGCTCACCTGTATCCTTTCCCTGCAAGAAACAACATGAGGCTATAGCTCCATGGCCCTTTCCCTACCACCAGCCAAGATCAGTGCTCTCTGCTACCTCCGTCCTTCTTGCCCTGACCTTTCCTGTGCTGGGCCTGCCTACATCTCTGGCAGCTATTCACAGTTTYTAAAAGAAAAAAAAAAACATCAAGAAATTTTTGTGAAATCACTTTCAAAATAAAATGTAGCCCAGCTACATTCTTAGAGTTTCTATTCTGAAGCCACATCCTCAGCAAAGACATTGAGACCTCCACAGTGTAAGTACTTTTTCTGTAGTTCTCTTTAAAAAAAAACCTCTATTCTTCCCCTTTCCCTCCCCTCCCTCCCCACTTTTTAACATATTGGATAAAGACTATTGTTTGTTTTAAAATAGATATCTATGTACACATACACAACTCTGATGTTCTGGTTTCTGACAAATGTGGCATTACTGGAAATGATGGAATGGAGACCACCTGTCCATGGCAGTGAATCACCCAGGAGTGCTGTTGGACAAAGTCATCAAACACCAAGCTGCAGCCCAGCCAGYTGGATGACTCAGGAAGGCTTCCCTTTCATCCTCCTGCAGTGAGGTAGTAACTTAGGTTCGTTCCTATGGGCAGAACCGGTGGGTCACTGTGGGCAGGAGCCTGTCCCTGCAGGAATGCTGGGTTGAACAGTGGTGGAGGTGAGTGCAGCCTGTGCCTGTCTGCAGCCCAGAGCAGTCATAGCCCGGGCTGCAGGCAGGACAATGGGCCACCAGGCTGGGCTGGAGCTGCCCCAGTGCAGGTGCTGTGGGTGGCACTGGGTGTCCAGCCTTGGGCAAGCTCCACTTGTCTGCCAGGGGGACCCTTCCACTGAGCCAGCCTGAGCTGGGACCCTCCACCCTGCTCTGCAGCGTGGGTGCTGAGGTGCTCTGTGGCCTGGGTCAGTGCTGAGCTGCCAGGTTTGGGTCCAGTCCCCCCCTTTAAGGGCTGGACACAGGCTGGCCATGCAGCCAGGCCCAACTCTCTGAGCTTTTCTCAGGTGCCAGCCACGGGGCTGGGCCCACAGCCAGCAGAATAAACTGGTTCAGGGGACACCCGTGCAGCACTGACCTCGTGTTTGGTGATGGCCACAGGGACAGGCAGTGCTGTCTGTTGGTTGCCCTGAGTGTGGCTTGAGGTGAGCCAGTGCCATGGACACGTGCACAGCCAGCCTGGCAGGGCCAGGAGTGAGGGACACAGTCCCTCCTTCAGCAGCTCCCTCCAGTCTGGCACTGTGACTCTGATCAGCTGGCTGCTGSCATGTTCACCTACCCACTGCACCTCCAGCTTGCCACGCACAAGAGACAGGAACCCAGGAAATGCAGAACAGCCCTTGTGATGCTAACACAGCCTGGGCTCCCTCCAAACAGCTGTCTCATCGGGGATAAAGTGCTTTCTCCATGCCTTAGCTGCTTGGGAAGCAACTGCTTTGTCTCGGCCCCAAGTTCCCCGTGTTGCCCAAATCTCAGATGCAGGAGTGGTTATGTTTACACATACAGTACAAAAATTAAAAGGCACAAAAATACACAGAATGCAGCAGACAGTGAACAGCTGATGAGTCCCTGGTGTTGTAAAAACAAGGATGTTGGAAGGATGGAGAGGAAGGGAGCTCAGGCTATGATAGTCTTTGCTGTCTGTGGTCATTATYCCTGAGGCAACCCTTCTGCTTTGTGTCTGTTGTTGCAGCTGCTGCAGCCTCATCCCTTGTCCTGAGGAACCACGCACAGGGATGCTCCGAGTGCTGACTGCTTGGGTGCTGACCAGGGGGAAAGTGTGGACTGAGCTTGCCACAGGTGTCATGCCTCCATTTCTGGCTGGCAGCAGCAAATAAATTATGGGTGCCACAGTGCAGACCAGAGGAGTTTTAGCTGCTCGGAAAGGTCTTGTGGCTTCTTTTGAGGTGACGGAAACTTCCAGCCATGGGCAGGCCCACCCCGTCCACAAGGCTGGTTTGAAGATGACCAAGGTGTGCCTGTGGCTGAGGGCAGCTTTCCAGTGGCACTGTGCTGCAACAAAGGTCACTTCCAGGGCTGCAGCCGGCCTAGGCTTCACTGCAGCACTCATAGATGTTGTCCTCCATGAGCGCAATCACCTGCTCAAATTTGTGCTGGAGCTGGGTGCGCTTTGTGGTGGGGTTTGCGTCCAGGGCGGCCACGATCTGTGGGAGACACAGGCAGGTGATGCTGAGGYAGGGTGGGGTGCCCACCTGCCAGCCCAGCTCCCCCCTGCAGACCCAAATCCCAGCCCAGCTCCCCCCAGCAGACCTGTGCAGCCCAAATCCCAGCCAGAGCTCCAGTGGGGAGAGCCCACCCTGCCGAGAGCCCACCCTGCCCCAGAGCCCACCCTGCCCAGAGCCCACCCTGCCCAGAGCCCCTGTGCTCACACCCCCAGCACCTCTGCTGTCCCCAGCCAGGGCTGAGTGCAGTGGTGTATGACAAAAATGCACGGCAATTACAGAGCTGAGGGCACAGCACCAGCCCACAGGACACAGGGGCAGGAGCCAGCCAGGGTGAGGACATTGGGTGCAAGTTATTTTGTGGGTGGGCCTTATCTGCATATTTTGCTCCCCTGAAAGYATTTGCTGGTTTACACATCTGGAAGCCCTTCTTCACTCCAGCCCAGCCAAAAGACATTAAGATCAGTTGGAAATAGGTGGCCTTGGCTTCCAAAAAGTTGCCAGCCGAGGGACAGAGCACAGGTGCATCTGYATGTGCATCTATTACACATGTACTGCAATTATGCCAACCCCGATAATCCCTGATCTGTGGGATGTCTGCCTGCGGGGTTACCCCAGCCATGGCTCYTCCCTTTCCAGGCAGGCCAGAGCCCCAAGAGCTGCAAACCTCACTCACCTGGGAGCGGTATCTCTTGGCGTATTTGTATATCTCAGCCATGGCGACATTGGTGTTGAACTCATTTCGGTATTTCTTTATAAAGACAGAAGAAAGAGGGGAGAATATCAGCAGGATGGAGCATGTGAGCTCCAGCCCAGCCAGCATGCACTGACTACCAGAAAAGCAGGTTTTGCCTGACTTTGCTGATGTGTTGGTGCAGCCGGATTTTTAAGGAAGTTGCATTTGCATGCAGCAGGACAGATCTCAGTCCTTTCAAATCCAGCTGTAAATACCTGTCCTTTCAAATCCAGCTGTAAATACCTGTCCTTTCTAATCCAGCTGTAAATACCCAGGCTGGGCAGCACTGCTTATCCCTCTATGCCAAAACCATTTCACAGGAGGGGGCAGCACATCAGCTGGGCTGTAGGATATCAACAGAAAAATCCCGCTCAGTGCCCAAAGCTACAACACTGCAGGGAGAAGGTTTGATTTTGTGGAACCTGTGGCGCATCACCGGCACGACTCCGATCTGCAGTGTGGCTGCCAGCTCCTGTGGCTGGTACCAGGGCTGGCTGCCAGGGGCTGCCTGGGACTCGGGGCCAGCCCTGGCAGTGCTGCCTCAGAGCCAGCTGGCTGGATGGCTGCAGGACTGCAGAGATCCTTCTCCAAACTTTCTGGCTTTTTGGCACTGAATTTTGCTCTCAACTCCCAGTGGTGCCAGATCTAGTTAGGCTCAAGCAATTCATGGATGTTTGCTGCAGCTCGGGCAGTAATTGAAGATGCTTGGAATTAGGTCAGATGAAGTTTGTGTGTGSAAGTTTCAGGCAAAATCCCTTTCCTTGTGTGCTCCTTCCAGCATCTGAGCAGTAGCTGATTGCAGCCCATGTGCTTTCTCTGCTGCTCTCAGGCTCCAGCAGGACAATGAGCCTGCAGACTCAACCCATCCCTTGCAGCCCTTACCCGTGACTCCTCCGCCAGGTGGGCATTCATCTCCTGCTCACTCAGCGGGGGCATGTCGTGGATTTGCTTGTAGTATCTCTGCACTATCTTCCGGTACTCAGGGATCTCCTTGGCGTACAGCAGTTTGTTGGTCGGGGAGTCCTAGAGCAGAGTGAGACACTGAAATCAGACACTGAGCTGTTCCTGGCTGGAAATGTGATCCTGTTTGCTTGACCAAAGCACTGACAACAGACAGGGAGCTCAGCACAGCTGGGTGCAGGACCAGCTTTGCCTTTGGTCCTGAGTGTCACCAGAAAGGAGAGCGGGGGGACAGCACCAAGCAGCTCATGGCACATGGCTCCAACACATCGAGGATCTGTGAGGGTCACCACGAGCCCGGGGAGCTGCACACCATGGGGATCTGAGATCCAGCACTGTCCTGCTGCCCTTTGTCCCAGCATGAGGTCACTGTCCATCCCCTCAGTGCCTACAAGCACTGGGTGAATGTTTGAATTCACAGCAAGCACAGGGTGAAAGACCAGCCAGGATCAGTTGGGGTGGCTGACTGCCAGSTGATCTCTGCAGGTGAGGGGCACACCCGTGCCACATCAAACACTTGTCTCTGTGGTGCTGTGTGTGCAAATGGGCAACAAGGGACAGCCTTCTGCATCTGTTTGCTGGSGTTTCTTGAGCAGCTACACTGATTTAAGCCAAAGAACAAAGCTATCTTACAAGSTGACCTCTGTCAGTTGAAATGTTGCTTTTGGATTTTTTATGTAGCTTTGATTTATTTTGCATTGGCTAATCCAGCCTGCCTGGCCTAAATTGATTGCATGTAAAGTAATTAACAGAAAATACTGAGTTCTCTTGATTAATGTCAGCTTGGACACAGCAGCCTTAAACCTCCCAGCCACACAACTGGGTTGTACCAGTGGAGGCACAACCCTGCTGCCCTCCTTGCAAACACAGCATGAATAATTTTAACCTCAAGGCAATCCTGTCGTGCTGCTATCATTACCTCAGGAGCGAAATTGGCTGAGTAGCCTGGTGTTGCAGCCCCAAGGGGACCTGCCCCAGGCTTGGGGACATCAAATGGAGTGAGATCACCGTGTCCTGCCAAGCCTGCAGTGCTTCCCGGGGCTCTGGCACGGGAGAGGGGAGGGGATCTGCTGAGGACAGGGAGTGGTGGGATCTGCTGAGGACAGGGAGTGGTGGGCTCTGCCAGGGGCAGCATCCTGGCTGTGGACAGGAATAAGGCAGGAATAAGGATTCCGTGGTGACTTCTTTCCACTGCTGCAATCTGTGGCTTGGGTCATGTCACAGGGGGAGCAGGAAATGGGCACCACATCCCACAACAGTTCATTTTCAAACCCAGGGACAAGGCTTTACAAGAATAGGGCCAACTTGCAGAGCCTGCTCATAGCAGTTTTTTTTTTCTCAGCAGTACAAAGGAAAATGCTGCCTCTTCTCTRAGTTGTTTTTAAATTTGTGTCCGATTTGACTGTATCATGAGGAGAAGGGCACTGGTTCATTAACTGCTTGTGCACTGTTGATGTGTGGGCTGAGTCTGCTCACACATTCACAGTATTGAGAGAAACATGCTGAAAATAAGAGAAGAATCCAGCCTGGAACTCTCAGTGATATGTGGAGCATACATGCAAGCTAATTTTTCTGCTGAGATTTATTCTTCCCACACTACTCAACAATTCATTCACTTATGCTATTGTATTCCTGTAAAATGTTTCCATCTGCTGTCTGACTCCAGCTGACCCCTCTTCCCCTCATCTGCCACTTGACAAGGACAAATTGTAGGTGTTTCGTAACACATGCAAAAAAAAGACCAAAACCCAAACAAACAAAAAATCAAGCACTCATTAGATCTTCCTCCAGCATTAACCTCTCCCAGCAAAGGCTTCCTGCAGCTCTGGGGCTGAAGGCGTAGAGCCCACCCCGTCACTGCAGGGTGTCCCCAAATCACACACTGTCACCGCTAGCTTTGGGGCTGGGGGTGCAGTGCGAGTGATTTACAGCATTTCTTAATAAAACTTATGTCAGGAAGTTTCAAATGTCAACACTGGGCTCAGCCAAGGCAGCAGGAGAAAGGAGAAATGCGCACACGGGATGTCTTACTGCAGGCAGACATGAGGGACCGTGTGTGGGGCTGGAGGGTGGGAGATGGGGCTGGAGGGTGGGAGATGGAGCCGGCCCTGCAGCCTCCATGGTGTGCTGGGAATGGGCTCAGATCCCCATGGTGTGCTGAGCAGGATCAGATCCCCATGGTGTGCTGGGAATGGGCTCAGATCCCCATGGGAGCAGGATCAGATCCCCATGGTGTGCTG